TCGCCCTTCTGGAACATGCCCAACTCCTCCCCACCCCAGGAAGGGCAGCCCACATCTAAGTGCCCCTGTGGCTCTGAACCACCAGTCGAGGTCCATGAGATACGTGAGCCGCTCTCGCCCAAAATCACCAGCCAGGGCCTGGGCCCTGACCTCACCACTCACAGGGAGCACCTGGGGAAGGCATCCCGCACCACAGAAGGCCTATTCTCACATTTACACAACAGAAGAAAACCAGGACCCACCTCCCCATCGTGCTGGGGACAGAAGAGAAGCGTCAGACGCTCACTACCACCTGCCCTGTGCTCACGCATCGGTGTCAGCTACGACCGTGACAGGGACTGTCAGTTTTATTTCAAGGACGACATTAAAACGGCAGGTCTAGAATGTTTCGTTTTCAGCACCCCTTTACACACTTAAATAATTGGGGGACCTCACAGAAAGTTTTCATCTAATTGGGTTATAGCCGCGGATATTGACCACATAAGAAGCTACAATTGAGAAAATTTTAATGTATTAATGCATTTAAAGCAACAATAGCAAATCCATTACTTTTAACACAGGTAACATATTTTATGAAAAATTATGTCATTTCCCAAAGCCATAAAAACAGTCAGTGAAAAGGAGGCACTGCTCTCTCTTGTGCAAGTCTCCAGCATCTGCCCTCGCAGGGGACAGCTGACTCTCTGGTTTCTTGTTCACTCCATCACTTCCTGAGCTTGCAGACTGTGGAGACCAGCCTCACGCAGCCTGACCTTGGACGTGATGGACCTCACAGCCCCGAGACAGTCCCCTAAAGCCCAGAGCTGTGCCGACCCCACGCTGAGAACACAGCCTGTCGCTCCTATTTAATTCTGCTCTTCAGTTTCTTACAAAGGAGCTGAGCAGACTCCTGCAGGATTCCCTGACTGCTAGCAATTCACACAGGGCCCTGGGATGCGCACCCTCAGCTCACTTCCTACAGGTGCAAACACACCCCGCTCTCCTGCAGGACACTCTCCACAGGGGCGGGGGGCAGGGGAGGAACCAGGGCCAGTGACCCCACTGCTCTCCTGAGACGGCCCAGGCCACACCCTGGCATCAGAGGAAGGCGCGGCCTCCACACAGACGGCTCGGTGCCCAGCTTCTCCCAGCCCTGGGCCGCCCTTAATGCAGGGACACTCAGTCAAAGGGCAGACACTTCCATCTGTCACCAGGAGGGCTCTCAGAAAGCCCAGTGAGTGGGTCTGCTCCATTCAGAGCCCTAAAGGCTCCCTCTGCAGACAGAGAGCCGGCCTCAGCAAGGTCCAGGGTCTGGCCTCAAAGCCTCCAAGTACAAGGGGCAGCCACTTAACCGTGAGGACGCCAGCCTCCCGGTCTGCAGAAGGGGTTTCCCCCGCACTGCACTGGCAGGCCATCCTGGGGCTGACTTGTCCTGTGACAGATGGAGTCTGGAAGCCCAGAGCCAGATGGCCAGGTGCAGAGGACCACCCTGTGGAGCCAAGGGCTGGGCCCCTGGGAGGCAGCCAGTCAGCCTTCTCCAGGCCACAGTCCCCAGGCCTCCAGGACAGAGGGCAGCACTCGGCTCTCTCCCGGGGCCTCTAGATTGTCT